TCTATATAGTAATAGTGCAAGCATTGTTACACATAAAGGGGTAATTCTGTAAGAGATCTCTTCTCGCTGCAGTGTTTGTTAAGTGCTGATAGAAAGCGTTTGCTTTTTATGGGATAGTACATTCAAACGTGTGTAATACATGTGTAGAGGTGTTACGGGAGGGTGACACGCGGTTGTAGGGCGGTGGTCACAAACACGTCCGCTACGGCCACCACCCTGAGGGGCTGTGGGGGATGCTGTGATCCCTCCCAGCCCCACCCCTCAGTGAGGGACAGTATAAAAGGTGGGACCCGGAGAGCTGAGAGGCAGTTCGACTCAAGAAAGATGAAGAGCCAGAGAAGAAAGAAGATCGACTAGCTAGACCCTGGAACTCCTTTGGCCCGCTGTCCTTTTGAGGGCCGGGCAAAGCAAGCCAGGGTGCGACACCAGAGCCGCGAGGCCCAATGTCCTTCTGAGGGCCGGACTCGTGGGGCTGGTGATCGGGACCTGCGCCGAAGCTGGGCCAGGTCAGATAGCCTCCTGAGAGAGGACCAAGATAGAGGGAACCAGGGAGCTATCATGGGCTAAAGCTCGAGGAACGTTCCCTCTATAGAGTATGGGTGAAGAGGCCGTTACCTCTTCAAGTATCAGATTCGCCACTGTAATTGAAGCGTCTGTAATAAATACGTGTTGCCTCCAATGAACAGTCTCCGACGTCAATAAGGCCACTACACATGCATGCCATGCTTTATAATGGTTGCTTTTCCCCAAAGATATCGCACACTTCTGCGGGTATACAGTTAAGGCCCAAGCGACCTCCTGGGAGGCCCTCAGTGGGGAAAAGAGATCAACCTAAATAGTGGGGGAAATGTCAAGGTAAGGTTTGTGTTTCACACAAGAAGCAGGCACTGCAATTAAAACCATAACTATTTACGAAAATTCTGGATATTTGCAAATTTTTGGATAAAGAATTCATGACAACGATTTAACAAAGCACGGGTTAATGTCCTGCCAAGTCTTTACATGTATTGTGAGAGTCCCTTCTCAGAGATGCATCTCAGAGAGGAAGAACATGGGCACTGACGATGGAGCTATGTATGTAGAACTTATTTTACACCATACGTAGCCAACCGTGCTAATCAGAGGTGCGGATTACACGTTCGTTTTGAAGGAGACAACCACAGGACCATGGCAAGGAGGAGATGAGAGGCATGCTTGGCTTATTGTGATGCCACATCACGACAGCCGATATAAATGCATTACACTGGTTAAAATAGATTCACATGCTCACGACAAATGCAGCAAATCACATGCGTGATCGCTTATTTTTTTATACGATTTATGCCAATTGTATATGATTTCATGTAAATATTAGGCTAATTATGTATTTAAGTTAAGGGAATAAACAAGACAAACAGGAAACAATAGAAATGAGACGGTAAAAAAAGACAAAAGACAGCGGGTTTTTTTTCCTCTTCGGGTCATGTGGTTTCCTATGGTTCGGCTGTCGTGCAATGAACATTTCTCTCTGTAGCCGAATAGGTGAGAAAAGTGCTTGTTTGAACCAGACGTCACTTGAAGGGAACTTAGAGGTAGTAGCTCTATGGTATCCACTTCCGTGGGCCTCATTCTCCACGGGTTGCACTGCTGTTTGAGCAATACTGTACAAATGGACAATCCATGTCATGACACCGATGGCACGAATCGGGATAACAATAAAAAGATCAGCCCTGCATTCACGCACACTCACGGGCAGCAACTGCCGTAGCGTGTTGTGTGCACGGCACACTCATGAATTTGCCACGATGTAACACGACCACACCATACCTCCACCGGTGTGGTATCCTCTCTATAAATAGGCATGTGTTTCCATTGATGCCTGCAACATGAGTTTTACAGTAATGTATATGCACTCCATATACTGTAAAGGTTATTCAAATTGTACACACACACCCACGCGCCCTTTATTTAATCTCAGAGGCAGTGTATATTATACAAGAGAAGACAAGGTTGTAACAGGGGTTAATCGCAAATGGGGTTGAACTTTATGTAAATAATATATTGCGATACACATTGCACAATGTATCATTGTATCGCTGTTACTAAACGCTTGGTAAATAATACTGTAGTACACACGATGTACTACAGTATAATATCATATATGGCAAAATTCACATGTCAAAATGTCTTTACCTCTTACCAAATCCACCCAATGTGCCGGCTACAGCGAGTAACTCAGAATTGGAAGGTTGCGAGTTCAAATCCTGGTTGGGGGTTGACTAAGCCCATCATCCTTCTGGGGTAGTTAAATAGGTATCACTGTGTGGAAGCCAACAGTCGTCCTACAGATGGACTCACCCCTGCCATAGGAATGGGGAATTCTCACCACAGACTCAGGATTGTAAACGGAGGATGAGCATAGCCTCAGTTCCCATTTGTGCAGGAAATCACTGTCTGTTACCACTATGCAGTGTAAAAATAAACAAGGCTCCGCATGAATAACATACCTCGGTTTGGTACAGGTTGCGAGTTCAAATCCAAGTCAGGATGGACTCGGCACCAGCATTATTGACATTAACATCAACATGGTCATATATCTGTCATCTATATCATCACCGCCATTGTGCAAGAACCATCATCATGATCCCTTTCAGGAGTATTTTTATTTCCCTGTGACTGGCTTGTTATGTTAGTGTCCTGTGGAATGGGTACAGTATTTTATTACGTGTGTCTCTATATTCAGTATTCTGTATTTCTCTCGCGATCTCCCTCCCCTCTCTCGCTGTCTGTGCCACCAGTCTCAGTGCGTCTCTTTCCCCGTCTTCCTCCCAGGTTCTCTATCCTGTGCCTCCGATGTGTATTGTTGCTCTGTTTGACTGCACTTTTGTCTCTGGTCATCTACTCCTCACTCTGAAGAGACAGACTAAATTCAACTCTTATTTTTATTTAACGAGGTAAGGCCCACTGGACTACAGTATACTGTATAGTTATTTTTTTAGAAGCGACCTGGCCACAAATGATAGCTGAACGAAGTGGCTAATCACGTGAAAATTTAAGCAGCCAAATACTTTCAAGTCGATGGAGCCGAGGGGACCGGGGGGGGCGACGGAGCCGCGGGGGAGGGCCGACGGCGCGAGCAGAGGGAGCCGACACTCACTGACTCACACCATGCACTGACTCACACCATGCACTGACTCACACCATGCACTGACTCACACCATGCACTGACTCACACCATGCACTGACTCACACCATGCACTGACTCACACCATGCACTGACTCACACCATGCACTGACTCACACCATGCACTGACTCACACCATGCACTGACTCACACCATGCACTGACTCACACCATGCACTGACTCACACCATGCACTGACTCACACCATGCACTGACTCACACCATGCACTGACTCACACCATGCACTGACTCACACCATGCACTGACTCACACCATGCACTGACTCACACCATGCACTGACTCACACCATGCACTGACTCACACCATGCACTGACTCACACCATGCACTGACTCACACCATGCACTGACTCACACCATGCACTGACTCACACCATGCACTGACTCACACCATGCACTGACTCACACCATGCACTGACTCACACCATGCACTGACTCACACCATGCACTGACTCACACCATGCACTGACTCACACCATGCACTGACTCACACCATGCACTGACTCACACCATGCACTGACTCACACCATGCACTGACTCACACCATGCACTGACTCACACCATGCACTGACTCACTCACACAAAGATCCCCCGTATAGCCTTAACAGACTGTAGGGGAAAGTGCTGTTAGCGAGCACCTATGAAGGCCGGAACGGTACACGAGGGGGTGGGTGGCCAGCACCACGCCCGACCGCCTTTGTCTCCCTAGTGGCACTGTTTACACACCGCACCAGGAACTCATTTGAGGCTGAGTCGACCTAGGGGAGGCCCGGGACCGGTTCAGATAATCGTCACTGGTGTTGGCCGTGAGCGGGAATCGAACCCGAGTCGCCAGGTTCATAGCGCAGCGCGCTAACCGCTACACTATCGCTCCCCTCACTCACACCATGCACTGACTCACTCACACCATGCACTGACTCACTCACACCATGCACTGACTCACTCACATCATACACTGACTCACTCATCATGCGCTGACTAACACATCGTGCGTTGATTCACACATCATACACTCACTCACACTGCCGCTGACTCGCTCACACATCATACACTGACTCACTCATCATGTGCTGACTAACACATCAAGCTACTACTGACTCACTCATCATACGCTGACTCACTCATCATACGCTGACTCGCACATCATACGCTGATTCACACATCATACACTCACTCACACTGCTGCTGACTCACGCACACATCATACACTGGGAGTGTCGTGCTGCCAGCTATGGCTGCAGGTTTTTTGTCGTACGTGTTATGTATATCGTTTATTGTTAAATTTAAAATCACAGTTCATATGATTACTATTGTTACATTGTTTTTATAGCTTTATTTTGGTGATTCGAAAACATATGGTTAATCTAAATTGTCTTATCGTTGTTATTGTTGGCTTGCACCACATTGATTTTTGCACACAGCGTTTTAATACGTTTTTTTGTGTGGAATATTTCCTGGTTTATTCCAGGATGTTTCTGTTACGCGTTGTCGCTTTAAGATATTTCTGTGTTCATATTTTGTTTGTTGCGGTTGCACCCGACTTAAGAGCCGCATGGCTCACAGGGCTATACCTAATAAATGAAACTTGATCTCGCCACAGCGGCGCCAATCGCACAACAAACACAAGACACACGTACGTGCGTGTCTGCTATGGAGGACCGTATTTTGCAGGATGGAGTTGTGGGTGAAGCGTTGATATGTTTCCATGTTATTAGTCGGGGATGCGATTCATAAAAACCCCGCGGCTTTGATGTGTGCACGCTCGCCGCGCCCCGCGTCATTTGCAGGCAGGAGACGGTGGCTGAGGGGCTCCTCCCATTGGCCACGGACAGCAAGGGGCGGGGCAGGGGCGGGGGGCGGAGAGAACGCAGCGCAGCAGTCGGAGCCGGCGGCTCCATCCAGCACGGAGCGCGTCAACAATCAGAACTACGACCACGGTCAGTCGACCGCGACTACCACCACCACCACCACCTTGGTTCTCTCCAGCACGGCTCGTGCGCAGCGAGGATTAACGCAGAGGGGCTCGGCACTGACGGTAAGAGGAGATGAATGCGTGGTGGCCACAAGAACGGTGTCCTGTTGTACGTGTCGTGCGTCACGTGTAGCGCGCGCGCGTGTGTGCGCGCTTTTATAGGTGCTCGCGAACAGCACTCGTCCCCCCGGCCCCCAGCCGTGTGTTGTCGAAGGCTATACGGGGGACCTTTACCTGTGTGTGTACATGCACGCGGCATTGCGCATCACGGACGATTCATTGGTCCCGCGTGCCGACTGCACGGACTACGGACACCGCAGTGGTCAGGGCTACGTTGCATCTGTGTGTGTGTGTGCGTGCAAGTATACCATGTGCAGTGTGTCCAATATAGGATGACATCATTCAAATAATCTGGATTCTGATTTACAGCGCGTACGCATGCGGCATGCGTGCGGAGGGCGTATGTGCGACTTTTATGATTGTGTTATCCTAAGAGCTATTATTATTCAATGAATACGCTGTGTGTATATATAGATGGGCATCTCCATGTTTAAGTGTGTAATCCTACGTAATCCCTATACATGCCACTACCCATACGTGTACAGTACTTATATTGCTATGTAAAGACAACTCTCGTAATAAGTAAATTGTTCTCCATTTCTACGATAACAGTGAAGGACAACCTGTCCCAGTAAACATGCCAACGTGAGGGCATCGTTGGCAAGTGGTTGGAACCGTTGGACCAATGTTGGACCAAAGTTCCATGTTACTGGGTTGTGAGCCCTTTGCCCATGCAATGGTGCATAAAGGTCGCTGCAATCCGCATTAGTCGTGGGGGTTTGTTTGACCATACTTCACCATGGCTGGTCAGTAAGTACGGGTTTTTGAAATGCGATGGAAATGGGAAACCAGCTACGACCCGTTCAGATGTATTCGCCACTGATGTTAGCTGTGAACGGGAATCGAACTCAGGACGGTTAGGTTCAGTGCAGTGAGTGAACCACCGCGTCGATGCTCTGTTAAATTACACACACACACGTGTATATATTGGCTCACATCGTATATCCTGTATGTATTTAATGTATACAAGTCAAATTCACCAACAACACTGCAATGGTCCTTCATAGCACATTGTTGTGCTATGAAGGGCCATTGTCATACACGTTGCCTATTACAGTACAGTATATAATTTAGAGCAGTGTCATTGACATATGTGTTGAGATGTTATTTGTGCACCACTGCCAAACGCAGCATCAAATGATTTATATTTAACATATGTTTATATGCAATGTGTCATCATGCGTGCAATGTATGGCTATTAACATGAGGGTTTGTGCATTCAACATACACTAACTCACTTATCATCTTCTGTGTATGTATGTGTGTAGCACAATGATAGAGGTTACACATGTTTAATACAGAATCGGTGTGCTCGTGAGCATGTGGGCATGTGTGTGCGTGGTGACTCAGCATCATGAGTACCTGGTGCAATAGGTAAGCATCAGACATGGGGAGATTAACAGCCAGGCGTGGTGATGACCACACCATCACCTTGTGCACCGTTCATATTATAACCAATGGGACAGCCAAGGTACTGCTCTGATTGTGTAAATGGGGATGGAAATTCTTACAGTTCCCAGTGAGAAAAAAAATCTATCTCCCGGGGGAAAATTTAAAGAAAATAGGGATAATTGGACCACGGTTATTTTCTCTGTCTCTCCCTGCTCGCCGTATTAAGTGGTTATTCCACGCGGCTATGTTGATGCGGTGAATATAATCACAACAGCGCTGGGGCAGAGCCATCCCCACGTTCTATTCAATAAAACAGTAACACTTCAATTTGCAAGGTTACGGGTTCTTCCACTCAGTGTGATCGGGTAGGCTTAATCTATTGTGATAAGTACTGTGGCTTCCAATATATAATTTATGCTTGACATTTTATCAATCAGTCCACGCTAATGTAAACACCATGTGACAGAACTGCAGTTGACCTTTGAGACATATATAAAATCCATGCCAACTAAGAACCCAAAACATTTTAAATTACTGTAACTAAAATTACTCGGGTGGACAAAGTGAAACAATATTCTAAGGTTACTTATAAAAAAGATAATCAATGTGTACGCATATTTTCACTTAACGATTACCAAAACCTATCAATCGCTTTTCATATTCCCACCAGAGAGCATTCATAACTACTGCCGTTTTGTTTTTCTATGAATGTATAACTTATTTCAACACCGTGTGTAGCCAACCGTGCTAATCGGAGGTGTGTCAGGACAACAAACCAAGCACAAAAAAACAGTTAAGAAATTGGTTTTCAATCTAAATTTAAAAGTGCATAGCTCCAGTGACTTCCTAATAACGGAAGAGCATTCCAGACGGCCGCAGAAGCGCATTTGAATGCGCCAGCCAAAGCCGTTGTGAAGATGGCCGGAGTTCGCATGATGGTTTATGCTCCTTGATGAAATCAGCACGGTATTGTGGTTCATTTGTGGCAGTATATATAACACATTCCTGCGGAGGGGGCTGGTAGGAACGTTGGTTGCTCAGTCAGTGGCCAGGGTCAACGGCGGCACCACGTGGTGTATTCCACAAATATGCCCGACTGTGAGGGCGGGCACAAGCCGGCGTGAGTAGGTTAAACGTTGAGTTTTATAAGGGCACCACGGGGTGACCAGCCCCTCCCCACCCAGCCCCACCCCACCCCACCCAGCCCCACCCCCCCAACCCCACCCCTCCCACCCCCCACCCAGCCCCACCCTCCCCACCCAGCCCCTCCCCACCCTCCCCTCCCCACCCAGCCCCTCCCTACCCTCCCCTCTCCACCCAGCCTCACCCCTCCCATTTTATATCCGAATGTCCGGATACACGTGGACAGACATCCACAGACAAACACAATTAATCCCCTGCCTCCTGTGAGAATTAATCCCGGGTGGGCTTCCAGTCCACTACGTTTCCTACCAGTACCAGTATAAATGGGCGCTAGGTGGCGATGTTTTTATATATCCGGGTGTCCGGATACACGTGGACAGACATCCACAGACATACACAATTAATCCCCTGCCTCCTGTGATAATCCCAGTTGGGCTTCCAGTCCACTACGTTTCCTACCAGTAATGCCCACTAGGAGCGCATTTGTTATATATCCGGGTGTCCGGATACACGTGGACAGACATCCACAGACATACACAATCCCCTGCCTCCTGTGAGTTAATCCCGGTTGGGCTTCCAGTCCACTACGTGTCCTACCAGTAATATATCACTCTACAATTGCCGGCACTGCTGTTTATACAGGCATATTTTGTGCTACGTGAGTGCAACATTCTGGTGCGCTGACCGTACAGTGATAGCGCGGCTCTCCGTCTCATCCTGGGAGGGGATACGGTTACAGCCATCGCTGGTCGCCCTGGTTAACAGGTGACATGGGCTCATTGCCATGAAAAGATGGACAGCTTTTGCACTGAGGGACCATACCTCGTGTATGCTATCACGTATTGAGGTGGTTAGCTGCCGATGTTTTTCAACCTATTGATGCATTCCACTTTGTAAAAAAATTGTGGGAAAAAAACATGTATTCAAATTGCTTTGCAATTCGGGAGACAGTAACGGGTTAAAAATGTTACAGCAGACTGCCAACATCAGCAGGGTTGGCAAGTATGCAATCATCTAGTTTACACACTAAATATATCTCTCATTCAAGGAAGAGTATGTCTGAATGTAATGCGTAATCATCGGAGAGCACTTAAAAAAACCATGAGCAATCACAACGTATGCTGCACGTCGTAGTGGAAGGGTCAGACATTACCTGGCCTAATCTGTTGGGCTCGACGACAGCAACATGCAATAATTTCAGGTGATTGGGGACGTGGTTAAAATTGAGATTTACAAAACGACCAAAGTGGACCCCAGTAATTGACCAGAATGAAAAAACATTTCAAAGATGGCAATTTTGTTAATCAGTCATGTTTCCAAAAAATAAATATTTAAGTTATGTTGAAATATAAAATGTTTGCCTCAAATATATGTTGTACTTAAATACATAAATACTAAATATTAATCATGGTCATTGTTTATATTAACATTTTTGAATTTCATTATTATCTATATCTGTATCATATATTTCACCCCAATGAGGTGAAATTTGAATATGATAAATCTTATTGGTCTCATTCGTATCAAGGAAGCGCAAATGCTATCGATTGTGTAGTAGCTCTCGTCCACAGACAGCAAAATAAGAATTAGCCTGAGGCACTCACCCAGTAATATTCTGTTTTGATATTTTGGTTGTAGTACAGGGAAGAGAGAGTGGGAGGGTGGCTTGGGGGTTTGAGGCTCCTTAACAAGTCACATTTGCAGCCGTTGAACTTTGGTATATATTGCCATTATCGCTTATCACTTTATACCCTGAAATGGCATCGCAGAAAGAAAAACAAATTCTCAGCTCTCCAAGTTCCACAAATGGATGAGGCCCTCCCCATGACATCTATTGAGGGTAGCCCAGGACTATTTTGATATTACTTTCCACTGATTTTAGCTGTATCTAGGAATCAGACTCAGGTTCCTGCGTTCATAGCGACTGCACCATCACTCCCCTATCATTGCAGGCATATGTGGAAAAACTATGCCTATAGTTTTTTATGGAATTGTCTTTTCATTGGCTTAAAATAACAATACATTTTTTACAATAACAAAAAATCTAAATGTGTCCTTGCAATGTTCATAGTAGGTCCATGCTCACAAGGAAATTAAGTTATTAATGTACATTATTAAATTATTAATGGCCCTTGACCCTAGAAAGAATAACTTTCTTCAGGAAGGTTCTCAAAAGGTAATACCTGTTTTGGGTATCGCAGAATTACAGCGCATTACATTCACATCACAGATAAATTTTTAAATCGGCAAATTAGCATGAAATCACAATTTGTAATGATAGTGCTTTTGCATTTAAAAGGTCATCGCAGCAGTTAAGAGGTTAGGGGCTGTTGCCTTGGTAATTAGTCTTTTTCCGTGCCAATGTAGGATGTGTCAAATGTGTCGGATGTGTCAGGGCGTTCCGTGTG